ATAGATAGATAGATAGATAGATAGATAGATAGATAGATAGATAGATAAGTGTGTGTGTATGTAAAAATTCAACCAGGTAAATAAAAATATACTTAAGGAAATAAGATAGAAAATGATGCTTCAGATATCCTACCATTTGGGAAATGAGGAAATCAAACCAAAGCAAGCAGCTTGTTTCTGCTATTAAGATGGAAAGGAAAAGCTTGTGTGGGCTCTTACAGATGGCTCAGCTGCCATCAAAGCCCTGATAAATATTTCATGGCTTCCTTGCATGCTTAGCTTTTCAATAATAGAACAGTTGACTTTAGGTTGGCGTTCAAATACACAGAAGGGACTATTGGCTCTTCCCCACCTCTGTCAGCAACCTTCTCTCTGCCTTGCATATTTTTGTTGCTGTCACCCTTTTCCTCTCTTCATGAAACAGCAAGGTGCAAAACAGTTCCCCTTCTTTTTCCACGTAGTTCTCACTCCTTACACGCAGGTGAGACACATATGCCAAACTAGATGTAAGAGATCATTGCTTGCAGATAATGGTGGTGATACTGGATGTATTGTAATTCATATTCTTATCTATATAAAACTATATTGTTCTCTGTTTATCATATTTTTATATATTTTGATATTTTTCTGGTGGGGGTTTTAATTTCTCTGCTATGGTCTTTCAATTCTTACACCCTGCACACAGGTGAGATACCTGTGCCAAACTAGATGTAAGGGATCATTGTAGTGCAGATGATGATGATGATGATGATGATGATGATGATGATGATGATGATGGATATATTATACAAGTAGTCCCCAAATGACAACAGTTCATTTAGTGACCGTTCAAAGTTACAACAGCACTGAAAAATGTGACTTATGACTTTTTCACATTTATGACCTTTGCAGCAACCTCATGATCATGTGATCAAAATTCAGATGCTTGCTAACTGGTTCCTATTTATGATTGTTGCTGTGCAAAGTCGATGGGAAAGCCAGATTCACTTAACAACTGGGTTATTAACATATCAACTGCAGTGATTCACTTAACAACTATTGCCCCATCCCTAACACTTTCTCACCACAGTTGATGATGGGAACTGGAATTCAGTCTTCGAAGAATCATACTTTGCACAGCCATACTCATTTGGGCTGTATTTTGTTTACTATAGAGCAGTGTTTTTCAATCTTGGCTATTTTAAGATGTGTGGACCTCACCTCAGAGAATTCTGGCTGAGAAAGTTACCAGTTTTTTTTAAAAAAAAACATGTTCTAAAGTGAAGTCTGTGAAATCAGTTTCAAGCTAA